TTTTTCCCCCCCCCCCCCCCTCACTCTTTTATTATCATCTGTCAAATAACCTTTATCAAAAAATATTATTTGTCAAAATAACAGTCTTTTTAGGGGAAAATTCTCCATAATTTCTTTTTCTGTCTCTGGGAGAGAGCTGGTTACAATTTTATTAAAATGTTCCCTTTAGAGTTACTGAAGTTTCTTTTCTACTACAGACAAAGCTAGTGAATTCGATTTCCAAAGGTGCCCCTTGTAACTTTTTTCACCTAAAAAGCACAATGATTTCTGTTAACTTTATCCTTTTTTTTGGGGTCTCAAGTGAATTTTGCATTTACTCTTATACAAATTATGGGGTGGCCAGTACTAGTGCATTCAACAAAGTTCTAGAATGATATGCATGAATGTGCGTGGATGTAGAGGACCACTCTTCTTTCAGTTGAAGAGCTTTCTTTGACTGCCTCCGTCCAACATGTTCAGCTGAATTCTTGTCTGAGTTATGGCGCACTGCTTTTGGCGTCTCTTCTTACAAGTATTCTACTGCATCTGCACAAATTTGATCACTACAGTCCTCTTTCTGTCCCTCATTTTAGCTGCCACTGCCAGCTTGTTACATGGCGAGTTGAGTGCAGATCATCATTTATATTGTATACAGAAATGATTTGAGCGGTAAGGTTTATATACAACTAAACTGTTACTTACGATACATTCATTTTTCTTAATTTATGTTTTCCTGTCCACAGGAAAAAAAGGTGGTGCATGTTCTCAAGAATATGCTCGCTTGCCTGTTGTGTTTTGTCCAATAGATTTCTTTTGGCACGTGAAAGTTACACTATGGAATTGCTTTTGTAGTTTTAATATCAGATTTAAGGTTTACTTATTTTTATTTTCTATTTCTATTTTCTCGAATTATATTCTGCAATCTCTTTTGCATTATAGTGATTGCTTGACCATAATGCATCTTCGTAAGCAGGCCAGGACCCTTTTAGAATGCATCTATTGATGAAGAGTTATTGAGTGTGTCCATAGTTTCATGAGCATTTTGTGACTTGCTCGTCAGTCACACTGACTGCAGATAGTAATACCATTTTAAATGAGAGATATGTGATGTTTAAGAATCGCAGATGAAATTTTGCTGGAAAGCAATACATACCGAAATCTGGATATTTTTTTAATTGCTTTGTGTTTCCTTTTTTCCTAATCTCCATTTTGTGCATCATATTACTACCTCGCTTATGCCCTTTATTAGCATTGTTTTTCTTTGTATTTAGCGTGATATAATTGAGTCCTGTTGAGGACAGCCTCGCAATTAAATTAGATAGTTTTTTACTAATTTCGCTGCATTCATCAGAAATAAATGGTGAACACTAGATCCTGGTTGATGGAAAGCAGCAGACTGGATCATTCACTAAACTTCAAAAATAACCCAAAAATTATATTCATGTTCAAACACAATTCTAATTTTCAAATATCATTTTTACTTGAATTTTTTTTTAATTTGTTTTTTGGATTTTACAATTCTTATGTCCAAACGCCCTAGATGCCGTGGATAAAATATTGATATTTCATTGGCAGACCAGACAAGCGCATTTACGAGATTCATGGCTTGTTTGTTGATTTAATCTTGCGAGTTGGAACTCGAACTGACCCATCAAACTTTTGCTTAAAATACTGTAGCTTAATGGGTTAAAATCCAACTTAAATTCATAAGTACAATATCAAATTTTGAGATTGAAAATGAATCTCAATTTGGAAAAACTCGAGTTCATTTATTAAGAATATGTATTTGCTTTCTCAAGTTTTTGTCAAAAGCCAAATTAAGAAAGATGGGAGGCTGAGTAATGTTAAACGGATTGAATCATGGAGATGTACCGCCCAAAAGAATAGTTTTCAGCAAATTGTAACTCAAAAAAAGAATTTTATCCGTTGTAGCCCAAACCCATGTGACTGACAAAAAACTTATTAATAGCCCAATGTGACCGAAATATTTGAACTTTTCTTCTTACCAAAAAACAGTCGTCTCTTTTACTCAAGTTAAATGATAACCTGATATTGATAAGACTCTATCATCCCCATTTTTTTAAAATTCAATTATTAAGACTTTTTTATTTTTTTATTTTTTCTCAAACTCACATCCCCCCCCCTCTCTCTCAAACCCGCTAAAGTAATATTTTATCAAACAAATTGAATTTCTTCTAGTTCATTTTTTATTTAGATTAACTTTAAGAAACTAGTATATTTAAAACCAAGACTAAACTATTCAGCATATTATACCTACTATGTAAAAATGTTGAGAAATCATCATAATACATATATACTTACACATGTATATAATGGAAAGAAAATCACTTTTATGTTGTAGACATAAAATTCAATTGTTTTTTTTAAATATCTAAAAATAGTATTATGCCAGCCATATACGCTATTATACAAAAATATACATTGTTATACATCTCAATCACACTACTTTATACATCGAAACCTTTTTATAACAATCTCGATTTTTTCAATATTTGTTTTGGCTTTTTATAATTATTGGTTACTGTAAACTTTTAACAACATTTGACCTTTAAATATTATTTGATTGTTATCGACAAAAATTATTCAAAAATCAAAAATTTCCCTTTTTATTATTATAAAATATCAAAAGATATGTATATTTTCACTAATTAAAAGTTTTAAATTAATAAATTCATAATAAATGTACAAAGATTTAAACGCTAAGGCACATATTTTGAACTCCAGACCTATTATTGGTAATCTTAGATGTTTTATTTTTTTAAAGATGTATGTTACGAGGGTAGTTTTACGAATAACGAACTGTTATAAAAATGCATTGCTGCTATAAAAGGCAAAGAACTGTTATACAGACGTAAAATATAGCATAAAAGTCGATTCTGAATTTTTTTTTAATTTTTATAATAAAATATTGTTACATAGGATGATTATTATAGAAAGATTCGACTTACACATTATGCAGTGAATAACTGATATGTATACACTATATAATTGTATATACACTATTATATAATGCACACATATTATTATACAATATATATATATATACATCTATTATAGATTAATATACAATAATATATACACTTTTACATCATCTCATTTCTACCTCGTCCATAATATATATGTCCATCTTTTTCTACCGTCCACCTCCATACACTAAAAAGAAAAAAGAAAAACCTCAGAGAAAATGAATGAAGAAAAAACCATCTGAACCCCAAAAATTATTCACCCTTTCTTTTAACACCTATTTTGGTCGCTTGATTTCAAAATGTTGTTACTTTCCGACTCTGCCTCTAGGCTTAAGTATGGCTAAACCGGGTAAGAAAATAAAAACAGGTCAAAATCTAGTAAACTAGAAGGCCGACGGGTTTTGGGTCGTAAATATCCCTTGAATTAGTGAAAATAGTATGCGCTATCCAGTGTTTGGACTGATAATCGAAAAATAACCAGTGTTTGCAAAATCATTGAAAAGTAGCCACTATTTTATGCAAAGATAAAATCCGGACACAAATACCCTAGCTGAAACACAAAAGTTCCAGCATAATATAATGGATTTTGATGCTCCTGAGTATAAACTCCAGCATATTATATTGGAACTCCAACACTTTATGAAAATCCAACACATTATGCAAGAATAACATATGTAAAAAATTTAAACTCCAGCATATTATGCTATAATATTTCCGGATTTTTCAGGGTATTTTTGTTCAGATTTTATCTTTACATGAATAGTTGACTAAATTTCGATTATTTTTTAAACTGTGACTATTTTTCAATTATCAGTTGTAAATCAGGCTATTTCTGATTTTTCCTTTGAATTATTATCTGTTACCAGTAGGGGTATTTGTCGGTCGGTACAGTACGATATTTAGACATTTCGGTTCGGTATTTTCGATATTCGATTTCTTAAAATGCTATACCAATAACGTACCTAATTAAATTTGGTATGGTACGATTTTTCTCCTTTCGGTTTCGGTTTATTCGGTTCGGTAACTTCGGTTTATTCGGTTTGAATACTAACTAGTGCGTACAGTCATAGACTGTAATATTCTTAATTAAAGTACTCAAAAGTACAAAACTAAAAATATTTAGTCAAAATTTTGTCAAAAACCAGCAAATATCAACCTAGAGAGAAAACTGTACATAAAGGAATAAATTTGATCATTAGTAATGTCTTGTTACTTGCTTAGAATTAATTGATGAACTTAGAGAATAAAAGAAAGTAAAATTTTAAATTTTTTATATTTATATTATAATTAATAATATGTGTATTGTGTAATATAATATATATTTCGGTACAATATCGATATTTCGGTATTTCATTTTAAAATACCAAATACCATATCAAATATTAATTTTTTTAAAACTTAAACTAAATACCATACCGAGTACCAAAATATCGAATACCAAATATCAAATACCAAAATTTTCGGTTTTGATACGGTAATTCGGTATTTACCAAATTATGCACAACCCTAGCTAGTTACCAGACCTCACGTATGAGATTGCGCTGAATTTGTTTTGTTGTTGTTTGTTGTTGAATTACTATATGTTAGTTGACCATCTCGAAACAAGTGGACGTTGGGCAAGTTAGACAATAATTCGTTTATTAATTTGCTTGAGTTGATCCGTCCAAGTTTGATCCAATCAGCTCGGTTGCCTTGTCTTATATATCAGCAATAGGGGTTTATTATTTCATAATGAATGTTAGAGTTGGAGTTAAGAAGTTAAGACTCCAATATAATGCTCTTCGAAAGCGGCTCTCTGGTCCTTTTTTAAAGTAAAAATAATATCATAGCCACTTTTAGGGCTACTAATTGGACTATAGACATTGTTTGTAAACTAATTGAGAAATAGTCACTAACTCAAAATATAGTAAAGTAATTGAAAAATTCTGTCCCGTAATTTCAAGAAATTTTTTGTGGAGTTCAAAGTGCTACAAGTGAAACTCCATGAAAGTGTCCTATAGTCTTAGAGTTACAAACTTTATATAAATCGAACTGTTGCAGGTGAAATTTCAAGACAATGAGTTCGAAATTTATAAAATTAAACATTAGGTTTGCGTCCTGGAGTTCAAAACTTACACAAGTCAAATTCAAAACTAACGTTGTTATAGCTTGAGTTCTGCTAATAACAATTCTTCAAATGATAGGTAGAAAAAAGCCAGTATTAGCCTATAACAAGGTAAACTAAACTGACAGTGCAAAAAATAACTTAAACCTAAAACAAAACTAAGAATATTTTTCTTTAAGACAAACTAACCTGCAAATGAGCTTAAGCTTTGACTGCTAAGTTGAACTGGTATTGGACCTTCAAGTCTATTATTTGCAACATTTAATTGGAAATCCTGCTGAGCAAACGCCGGTATGCTGCCATGAAACTGGTTATCTTGTAGCTGCAACTCTACAAGTTTCGGAATTCCCAATAACGACGTCGGAATCTTGCCGGTAAACCTATTATTTGCCAAAAATATTCTCCTAATTGACTTCATTCCAGCGAAGGCATCGTCAGGCAACTGACCCCTATTGCACTGATATACAATATCTGGAAAGCACGAAATGAAGCACTATGGCAACAGCGAGTCCCAAGTCCACAAAATATATGTGCACAGATAAAGCAAGAAAGCAGGTTAAGAATGCAGGCAAGCTGGAAAGGAAGACAAAATAGCAGAAAAAGGGCATGGATAGAAGGACTATACAGACGAAATAATTAGAGACACACATACAACAATGAGAGCTAGAGTGAGGAATTACTTAGTAAATAAAAGTAGGGATAAGGAATAGATACGTAGCTTATAGAGGGGAAGTAGTTACAGGTGTTCCTTAGCTGGAAGTATGAATTGTAGAGAACACTAATGATATGTTATCCTTCAATACCACACAAGAGGGGTG